CTGGTTGTACTGATTGTGATCCTCAACAGGTCAGTTCACCTTTGTGGGAATTTTGAACAAATGGTAAACCGCTTTTCACAGCTGGATAAATACCCAGTTCTTTGCATAGAGGATTTATATGCAAAGCTGTCAGGGTGGCTGTCTTTCATGAAGCTGCACATGAGCCATGTGTACTTGCAATTGAGGTTAGATGAGGATGTTACAATTCATACCCAGAAGGGTTTGTACCAATATATGGCACTGCCTTTTGGGGTATTGTCAGCTTGTGCAACTTTTCGGCGGACGATGGAAAACATTTTAAAAGGTCTATCCGAGGTCGTTATTTATCTAATAATAGGGAAGACCAATAAGGAGAACTTATAGAGAACTTGGATATAGTCCTCAGGTGTTTTTCTGAGGTGAGTGTACACTCTAAAAGGGGAAAAAAAACATATGTTCCAGGCACCCCAAGTGCCTTAGGCTACAGAGTCAACAAGACCAGGTTATACCCATTGGAAAATAAAAAAATACAGGTGATCAAAGATGCCCCAGCTCCCATCTTAGTACCAGAGATTAGGTCTTTCCTTGGGCTGGTGAATTATTATGGAAACTTCATACTTAACCTGGCCTCCATCTTGGCACTTTCACTTCAACTCTTGAAAAAGAGATAGCCTTGGAAATTGTCGCATAACCAAGCCATAGCTTTCAGGGAAGTGAAGAAACAGCTATCATTCCCTAAGATGTTGGCACACTGTGATCCGAAGCAAGATTTAGTATTGACATGTGATACCTCTCCATACAGCATCGGGATAGATGCAGAACGTAAATATACTCAGATAGAGAAGAAAGGTTTGGTCGTCAAATTATGAGTCAGCAAGTTCCACTAATACCTTTGTGGTTGTAAATTTCTAACAATAACAGACCACAAACCCTGCTAGATCTACGTAAAGAGGCTGTGCCACCTATAACTTCAGTCCGAATTCAGCTGTGGGCTCTTATGCTGAATGTATATAATTAAAAGTTGGAACACCATCAGGGAGGCCAAGTAGCAAATGTGGATGCATTGAGCCACCTCCCTCTAGCGGAAGTACCACCAGTGCTACCTCCGCTGGAATAGTCCGCAATGTTTTTCAATTTTCTGGATACACTTCCAGTCACAGCGGACAATTTGAGACTTTGGACACAAAAAGATCTGTTCCTGGCAAAACTGAAACAGCTGGTGGTGATGAGAGAATCCAAAGGGCCATCACAAGCAGAACTGAAACCTCTGCACCTCGGAGAGACCAGATCATAATAGAGGATGGTATACAATTGTAAACAGCAAGAATGATTGTCATGAGCATTGGTTGCTGCCAGATTGTGTCTGAACATCACAAGGATTATCCAGGGATTTCCAAAATGAAGATATTGTTGAGACTTTATGACTTCTGGCCAGGATTGGATGCAGACATAGCTGTGTCAGTGAGGCAGTATCCAGAGTGTCAACAAGGACAAAAATTGCTGCCAGCAGCTTCCCCACATTCATGAGAATGGCTGGATAAGCCCTGGACTTGGTTCCACATCGACTATGCTGGTCATTTCACTGTCTCATTGTTCTTAGTCAATGTGGACGTCCACTCAAAATGGCTGGAAGTGCACATTGCTCATTCGTCAAACATGGGGGCGATGATAGAAAAACTACGCACATATTTTGCAGTACACAGAATAACAGAAATATTGATCAAAGATAACGGGCTGTCATGTACCAGCAGGAAACCTCAGCATTTCCTAAAATTGAATGGTATTTGCCATATAAGGAAAGCCCCATACCATCCATCATCCAATGGTCTGGCAGAAAGAGGAGTCCAAACTTTTGAGGCAGACTTAAAGAAACAGTCTACTGCTTTACTAGATATCAAACTGCCCTGTTTCCTATTTGATTACAGGACTGCGCTAATGCAACTATAATGATAGCTCCAGCAGAGTTGCTAATGGGGAGAAGACTCTGCACCCGGTTAAATATGATGTTCCTGAACCTTTTTGGGGTGGAGGGGGCAGGGTGAAATGGCATCAGGAATGCCAATGTCAGACACAAGATCCCACTAAGTGACAGAAACAGTTTATTCAGGGGACGAAATTTGGTATGGGAACCTCAGGAGTGGCCCTGCATGGGTAAGAGGCATGGTCGATGTGAAGTCAGGTCCAGGGATGCATAAAGTTCAGGTATGTGTGACGGTCCTGAACAAGCATGTCGACCACATGAAAGCTGCAAACTCGCAAGTGGTGCAGGAACAATGTGCCCAGCTCTCTGACTGCTTTTTCAAATGTCCCAGAACCCGTGGGTTCTTTCTCTCCATTAAGCATTGAAGATATCTGTTATCTGACTGGACACAGTGGATGTCACCATCTCAACGCCTTTGTCATCTGAAGAGGAGAATGAATTTCTTACGAGATGCTCCAGCTGCAAGAGGTGAGTTAATATGCATTCCCACCATCCATATCGGAGGCAGAGTTAGAGGAATCTGACCCAGTGCAAAAACACCCCAGAGAAGGGGAGGATGCAGTGATTGCAATGAGGTCAACCAGGTGGATCTCACAGAATATGATTCTCTTACTGGGGCTATTAATCTGATCCAATCATGGAGCCCTGGCTGACAGATATTAACTGAGTGTCAGAGAATCTGTTCACAGAGAGCTGGCTCTGAGGGAGCTAGATCCATGTCAATGGCTCTCCATATGTATATGAAGGGTGACTTTGTGATGGGATACTGCAGTCTGTGGAGTTATTTAGTGTCCCTTCATTCTTGTCTGAATATATCATGAACGGGGCCACTAGTAATCTTTAAAGAATCTTGTTTCTCTTTCTGAAAATAATCATTCTTTTTATAGAATTTTAAGTTCTGCTATGTACTGCTTGCGTGTATGGGGGAGGGTCCAAGTGATATGGGAGCTGGATTATTACCTGAAAAGTGAGCAAGTGTACAGAGGGAAGGTGGGAGAATAGCATTAGGACATGGTCTTTTGAAGTCCTGGGCTGACATGACAGACTCAATAGTCTCCCTTCTATGATGTAACAGTTCTGTGATTCTGAGATATCAGTATTTTACTCCTTGCACCCAGAGCGTTTGCATTCCTCTTAAATATTTTCTTATAAGTGACGCTGAAGTCTTTTCACCTTAAGTTATTGGTTTCAATGAAACAAATCAGTTCTACATGTATAGAACTTGACCAAGCCATTTTGTAGCCTAAGAAGTTGCTTTTCTGTGGGTATTGTCCACATAGTCTTTATTTGTGAAAGTAAAACAATTTTGAATGCTTTGTAAAAACCAAAAGAACTACTTAACACTTTAGGTATCAATAATTTCTTCTTACTTCACCTAACTTAACAGCAACTTTAATTCCATTTAATTTCACTTTAACTTAATATGTACTTAACTCTTATAGAATTAAATTACAAATTAGTTTGACTTGAAACAGATGTCGCCTCAATTCAAACGAAGCAGTCAACTTTTGCTCTTGGCATGGATCTTGCCTCGTGGTGCTTTGTTGCTAAAGATAACTTCAGGGCACACATGTGGTGAATGTGGGTCTCGAGTGTTGGTAAGGAAAAAGTTCTGCGCTGTAACTTCATTGCAAATTTCACTCGAAATGATCTAGTGTGCCAGGTTTTGCAACATCACAAGCTTACCAATATTCTGTTCACTTCAGCAATTTCTTATTCAGATATTGCTTAACCAAGCTTTGCCAATCAATAGGAATAGGAATCTCTAGGAATTTAATCTGTCCCTTTAACTTGTGTGTTTTGCAACTGCAAAGCTGCCTTTTCTTTACTGACAGCATCAAGTTTCTATTTGAGCTCTGCATTTTCTGATCTCAACTCACTTATCTCAGCATTGCTCTGCTGTAACACACACTTCACATGCTAAGTTTGTGCGAAAAGTCAAATTCCCATCAGCCGTTTTCTTACAGACTTCTTGACCGAGTCTAACAGATAACCTGGTTTGCTGGGACTTGAAATATCACAAGCTTCTCAATACTCTGTCCACTTCGGAAATTTCTTATTCAAGTGTTTCTTAACCAAGCTCCCATTCACATTTATTGTCTGCCATGATTTCAAAGCTAAGTTCCAATGCCAAATTCAACAGCACAAAAATTTAAATGTTATGATTAAATCTAAAAATCCTTGCTTCTACACACACTCTCAAATCCTGGCTCTCATGTGGGGCAGTTGCCCTATTTCTCAGGCTCAGGCTGGATTTCTGAAAATAAAAGACTGGTAGGTTCTACTTCGGGGCAACTTAAAGTCACCCCTTATCAAAGCCCATCCAGAGGCATCAAATATTGTGGAAAAATTGGCACAAGTTACCTTTAGGCTCAGCTACTTAAGAATTCACCCAAATAAATACTGAAACAATGATTTAAAAATTGTATTACATGTAGCAACCAAAATTAGACCCCCTCAGATAAACAAGTTCAGCCTCACAACTCAACTTGTTTATTAACTGATTGACAGTTGAATTTAGCTACAATTCCAACCAACACAGCCTGTCTCTGGGTATGTCTAGGTTTTGAAGCAAGCTCAGTGTTGCTTTCTAAAATGCTGCTAATGAAGGGTTTTGGCATTGGATACTTATACAGAGTTTTGTCCTTCAGTACATGATGTGCTATAACTAACAGTTGCCCTTGCAGCATAAAACAGCTATTTATCAAGCAGTCGTTAACAGTGTTGTTCATGTAGCTTCAACGCCACCTACTCCCATAAGTGGCTAATTGTTTTCAATTCCGGTATAACTTTGCCCTTATCCTTTAAGAACTTATTCCAGACAGTTATTACTGCTTCCTTCTGTGTTTAATAGTTTATCTTTGTTGATTCTTTCAATCCATAACTAGCTACTGAGTTCTGAAGTTTATAATATCACAACCCTGTAACACTGTATTTACCTTGGTGTTGCTTCTCTATGAATCAGTTGCACATCTATAAATATACTGACCTATCATTATATCTATACTTGAGAGTATACATTGCTCTGTCCATTAGTGAGTGTGAGCATGTGTGTACATTTATTTATCCAACATTTTCTGCATGTGTGTACACATCCATCTCTATCCATCAATTTACATGTGTGAAATGCAAACATACTGGAGTCATATTAAAAATTAAAATGACATTCAACTGAGCTTCCTCAGAGCAGGAATGAAGATCAGATGATTAAAAAAGAGAACCCTGACACAAAGTCAAAGCCAATCAAAAAAAAACTGAGCTTCCAGTTGCAGATGTTCTTGTCACGAGTTAGGGCGAGAATAGTCTGGTCAGCTCACGTGGTTCGAGTATCTGAACAAATGGTCTTTCTGGAGCATTTTGGGGTCAACTAAAAAAGTGTTGTGAAGTCTGTTTAAAAGTATCTCTGAAACAAAGCAAGCTGTACCTCGGTATTTGGAAATGCATTGTTCAAGATTCGAAATTATGAGAGCAAAAATCAGCTCTGAAGAGATGTCCAATTGTGAAGCTGTTCACATTGCAAAGCAACATTTGCATTGAGCAGCAGCAGCAAAGTCTGGTTTGAAACATCAGGATCCCAAATTGCAGGAACTGGAATCCCTTGTTCAATCAATGGAAGCACAATCCCAGGTAATGATCAAACCAGAGATCTAACCATGGAGTAGCAGATGGGTTGGAAGATCAACACGTCACTTACTGAGTCATGAAGGAGCTAGAACAGCGACATCAGAAGCTGAGAAAAAAAAAAGAAAAAACGGTGAGGTATTCAATATCAACCATGGGGCCCAGGATTTATTCACTTCCCAGCATTAACTAACCAGATTCAAAAATGATGATTATGAAGAGAATACAGACTAGAAAAAAAAAAGGAGGGGCCAGTCCAAATTGGTACAGCCCCAAATCGGTACAGCCCCAAATCAGTGACTCCAAAGCTTGAGAAGTCAGGTATTGAAGTGAGGAAATAGACATTGCATCCATTGTATTCAATAGAACTGCCTGATATTCTCTGGAATTGAGAAGAATGTAGGGTAATCCCATTGACAGGTAAACAAATCTGAAGATTTGAGAGATGACATGAGTTGCATCTTGGCTACAGAGTCGAGAACTAGGGTACAAGTTCATCCAGTTAGAACGGAGCTGAGGAGAAACTTCTTCACTGAAGATTATTAACCATTGGAGCGTTTGCACCCACGGCACTCACTCATGGAGTACATGAAAGATGGGGATTGGTACATGCTGAATCGTAACAACAGCAGATAGAAGACAGTCAGCTCAACTCTATGTCGATTCTTTGTGAAGCAATCCAGTCAGTTTCACTTGCCATTCTTTAACCTCATAACCTTGCAATCCCATTTATTTCCAGTGCATATCCAATTTTAATTGGAAATTGCTGCTTATTTCTGCTTCCATCTCTTCAGTAAGGAGCGAGTTGATAGTTATTACACTCACTGTGCAAAAAAAAAGGGTCTTCTCAATTCCCTTCTTTCTCGTAGCCAAAATCATAAACTTGCGGCCCCACCTTCCACCTAGAAGCATAGAGGGATTCTATGTGGAAGCAGGCCATTTGGCCCATCGAATCCACAACACCCTTCTGAATAGCATCCCACCCAGGCCCACCCTCCCTCCCTCCCTCCCTATCCCGTACCACAGCATTTCCCATAGCTAATCAACCTAGCGTGCACATTCCTGGACCATGCACCTAGCTGCACGTGTTTCCACTGTGGGAGGAAACAGGAGCACCCAGAGAAAACCTCCGCAGACACAGGGAGAACATGCAAACTCCACACAGACAGACATCCAAAGCTGGAATAGAATCTGGGTCCCCAGTGCTGCAAGGCGGCAGTGCTAACCACTGAGCTACTGTACTACCCTGCTCCTTGTACTAACCAGTGATGAGCTCCTTGTCCTTCTATACCGTACATAATCCTATCATAATCTTGTGCACCTCTGTTAAAGCTCCCCTCAGTCTCCACTGTTCCAAAGAGGAAATAGCCCACCTTCTCAAATTTAAACTTGCTGATAAAGTCTTTCATCCCTAGAACCATTCTTGCAAATCTCCTCTGCAATCTCAAAGACCCTGAGTTCCTTTGTGGATGGTGATCTGGAAGCAATATTACAGTTGTGGCATATGAATTGGAGCAGGGGTAGACCACTCTGCCCATTGTGGCTGCTCCGCCACTCAATAAGATAGTGACTGATCCAACTGCAACCACAAATTCATATTCCTGCCTACCAATCAAAACATTTCACTCTCTCATTAAGTGAGAGAGAATCTACCTACCTGCATACCTCTGCCTTAAAAATATTCACAGACTCAACTTCAAATTCAAGGATTCTATTATGAGTACCTGAGAGTTCCAAAGGCTTATAATCCGCAAAAAGGAAAGAAGAGCCTAATCTGTTTTTAAATGAGTGACCACTAGTTTTCTTTTTACAGAAGACCTCGACTTCTAGATTCTCCCTGGAGAAGAAACATTTGCTCTACATCTACCCTGTCAAGACCTCTCAGGATCTTATGTTTCAATCAAGTGAACTAATCACATTTTATAAAAATTTAGTGAGCATAGATTCTCTGCAATATCTATATTTATGACAACCAAGTTTCCACATGCCTTGCTCACCACTCAGTCTTGCATGCTAACGTCAAGAATCAAAATGTATGTGTTTCCAAGTCTGCTATCCCTGCATAGTGCTCAGAATTATGCCATTACATTTACATTTTCTCTTTGTCTCTTCTTCCAATTGTGTCAACTCAGACTTCTCTGCATTACATTCCATTTGCCACTTGTCTAGCCATTAGCGAGTCTATGCCCTATTGCAGTTAGTTCATATAATTCTTATTGCGTTTATCACTTCTCCAAAATTAGCATCGGTGGCAAATTTTTAAATTTCAACTTGCATTACCATATTCAAGTTATTTATATAGGTCGCCAAAAGTGACGGTGGAGTTACTGAGCCTTAAGGAGCAGCACTATCACCCTCAAGTCTGAAAAATAACCATTAAGAATGAGTCAAATGTTTTCTGAACTGAAAATAATTTTCTATCCAAGCTGACACTGGCCTTCCTATTCCATAAGTCTAAATTTTGTTAAACAGCCCTTTATGCAGTACTTTTTCAAGCATTTCTTAAAATTCTTTCCATTCTTTTCCCTTCACGAAATTTATCTGTTTTTTCATCAGAATATTGAATTGAAATGGTCAGTGATTATCTGTGTTTTACTCATCTATGCTGGCTTTCCTTAATGAAGTCAAACCTCAGAAAATCCTTGTCATTTCTTCCCCATTCACACACAATCTTCAAACGAGCTGTACCTTCAGACACTTACTGCAAGCTGTTGTTTAAGTCACCCTTGGCAAATCTGCAGAGACAAAATAAATGTCAGTTAGACCGGGGATAACCCATTATCAGAGAATGAGAACAAAGCAAGTGTGTTGAATGTAGAGTATGAAATAAATGCAGCAGGTCAAGAGATAGAAATAAACTTTTGAAGCCTACAATAACCTTTTTAAAAAAATAGGCTTATGCACTAAGTACACACCATTAGTGATCACCATTTTAAAATATAAGTAACAACCATAACCTGATAATTCATTTTAAATTGTATGTAGTAGGGTTTACTGAATGAACTAACAATACAAAAGATACAACACAACCAGTCAAAACATTTTAGAACCATCAAATTCATTGCCATCAGCATCTGATACACAGGTGATAAAAACTCATTCTGAGTTATTTCGGCTGTGACATCACTGTAATGTCCAGCAACAGGAATTTCATGTGCTACTCACAATACGTCTCAACAATACCTAGGCAGAAACACTATATGATGAACAACCATCTACTGTTCGTCTTCTGGGCTCAGAGAACTTTTCCACCTTCTCAGCAGAATTCTATATTGAAAACAACAAAACTCTAGATCTCCTTTGGCCTCAGCTTCAGTATGGACTGATTGCACAAAATTGCTCGACTCTGAATCAGTTTATTGAGCCTCAATAAAGACGACTTAAAAAAGTTTCTCAGCTACTTCATTCACCACTCGTGAACTCTCTGCAATGTTTTCATTCAATCTCGTAACTGTAGTTAAAGTTATAATTTGACCTGGACGTTCTTTTATAAGCTCATTTCTTGGACACTTTCCTAAGAAGTTCAATAAGGCCTGAAAATACACGCACACAAATTTCAACATTCTGATTGAAGATGTCACTATGGAAACACTTTGACCTTTGATTCTCAATTCCACCCCCAGCATATTAAAGTTTGAGAAAACATTGCTGGGTCATTCCCAATTGTCTCTTCTTTGGCTGGCTACATGCCTTCCTTTTACTCTCCTACCTTTTATCCTTTTTGGTTTTATGGAGTGGGGGACCATAAGACTCAAAAGTAGAATTAGACCATTTAGCCCATCAAGTCTGCTCCACCATTTGACCACAGCTGATTGGAGAACAGGAAAATGATCTAGATTTGTGGATCACCTCAACTATCAGCTAGCTCACTGCCTGTTTAGCTGTTGCAACATAAATTCCACGTACTGGACTGTTCAATTTATCTGTGTGAATAATTTCCCCGAGAGCTTCAGCTCTTGATTCCTATAGACCAGTGAAAATTGCTTGGATTTACTCTTTCAAATTGATTTTGGGTCTGCCCAATATGTGTCCTCAAGTTTCAAAACTTCTGCATGTATGCTTCAGCAACTTATATCCACCAAGAATAAGCATTTTTAAAAAAAAGTGTCATAATCCACCGAAAACTTTCCCAGAAGGATGCATATGTCTCATGAGCTCTATCTGTCCATATGCTCTGCAAGGTCCATAATCAAATTTACCTCCAGCCACTTCATTGGAGTACTTTTTCCAAACAGTATAAGGAATGCCTCCACATCTTTTTCTGAAATTTTGATAGGAATTGTACAAATTTAAAAAAAAAACAAAAAACAACAACTTTCCCTTCCTGGGTTTTGGGTTATAGCCAATGTATTTTTTTCTCATCAGAATAATCTTTTTCAATAGAAGCAGTTATTGGCAGTCCCTCTCATTTCTTTCGAGGTTTTGCAATTCTAATACAAGCCTCTCTCTCTTTTTCTTTTTCCTCCTGTCTGAAGTCAAAATTCAAGCCTTTTCATTTCCGTTTACCTTTGCATTTCCATTTACCTTTCCACCATTTCCTTGGACCAGGACCTGGTCTTTCTCCCATTTCTATTCCTCCTAAATGCTGTGGTAATATTTCAATCATCTCTGACTTCTTGGCTTTTGCAGGAAATCTCACCTTTCACTCCTTTGCCAATTACCTAAATCTTGTAAATCAGTCAGGAATACCCCATTCATCTTTAAAAAGAGAGACTTTCAGCTACTTCAAAGAACATTTTAATTTTTTAGTAAGAGAAACCCAGTATGTGTCCTTTTGTACTTTACAAATTACTATTACTCAATGTCCAATTTCATGCTCTCTGCATCCAATCCCTACACTGAGGCTCAAACTTTGTTATGACTCAGACATAAGGAGTGCACTGGTAATTAACCTCATCACCTCACAAGCTGTTCAAAAAGTGTAAATGTTTCATTTTTACCAAAATTGTAAGGTTGTTTATTTTTATTTTTGTTATCTACAACTAAATACTGCCCTAGGTTTATTCAGTAAGCTCAATAACAGCTTGTTTAATAAAAATTTAATTATTTAAACAAGTGGCAAAACTGGTTATCAACTCCAGTACTGTGAAGATAAATAATATTCCCTTAATCCCAAACATACATCAACACAGAGAGCACAAGAACTCTGCAGAGATATTATGGGTTTGAAAATAAAGGGAAGAAAGCAGCCACATCACTGTCAGACATGGGTGCAAATTTAGAAGATTCAATGGGTTCAATTATCAGTTCCTTTGATGCCTGTCAATAAGTTCCAGTTGCTGAGAGTCTCAGAATTATGGAAGACACTTGGTGGTCCTGGTATTTATACAGTCGTAGAGCATGAAAACAGACCCTTCATTTCAACCACCACATTTCATCCATAATCCCCAAACTAAATTAGTCCTGCCTGCTAACTCTTGGTCCATATCCCTCTAAACATTTCCTAATCATGTACTTATCCAAATGTCTTTGAAATGTTTTAACTGTACCACCAACTTCTTCTGGAAGTTCATTCCACGTACAAACTACGCTTTGTTAAAAAAAAATGCCCCTTATATCTTCTAAAGCTTTCTCTTCTCATCATGAAAATATGCCCCCAATCTTGAAATCATCCACCCTACAGAAAAATACACCTGCCATTCACTGTGTCTGTACACCTCATGATTTTATAATCCCCTATAGAAGGTGATTGCCAACCTCTTGCGCTCCAGTGAAAAAAGTCCCAGCCTATCCAGCTTCTCCTTATAACTCAAACCCACTCACCATTCCCAGCATCATCCTGGTAATCTCTTCTGAGCCCTTTACAGTTTAGTAATATCCTTCCTGTAACAGGCTGGTCACAGTACTCCAGAAGAGGCCTCACCAATGTCCTGTACAGCCTCAACATGACGTCCCAATTCCTATACTCGAAGGTCTAAGCAATGAAGGCAAGCATGGTAAATGCCTTCTTAACCAGATTGAATTTTGCATCACAGGTAGACAAAGAATTGTGTATCTGAATCCCTAGGTCTCTCCATTCTACAACACTACCCAAGGCCCCATTTTAATTGTAGAAATCCTGCTCCCGTTTGTTCTTCCAAAACGTAATATCTTGCATTTATCCAAATTAAACTCCATCTGCCATTCTTGAGCCTATTGACCCAATTGATCAAGATCTCTTTGTAATCTAAGATAACCTTCTTCACTGTCCACTACACCACCAATTTTGGTGTCACCTGCAAACGTAGTAACCACACCTTCTAAATTATTTACATAAATGACAAACAAAAGTGGACGGAGCACCGATCCCTGTGGAACGCTGCTAGTCACAGGTCTCCAGTCCAAAAAACTACCCTTTAACATCAGTCTGTCTCTTGCCATTAAGAGAATGTTGTATCCAATTGGCAAGCTCACCCTGAATCCCATATGATCTAACTTAACTAATTAATCTACCATAGAGAACCTTGGCGAAGGCTTTATTAAAGTCCAAGTAAACAATGTCTACCACGGTGCCCTCATCATTCTTCTTGGTTACTTCATCAAAAGGAAAATCTCACTCAATTAAGTTTGTGAGTTACAATTTCCCTTGCACAAAACCATGCTGACTATCCCTAGTCATTCCTTGCCTCTCTAAATGCATATAAATCCTATACTTCAGAATCACTTCCAACAACTTATCCACCACCGAAGTCAGACTCACAGGTCTAATTCCTCTCCTTACATCCCTTCTTAAAAAAGCACAACATTAGCCACTCTTCAGTCATCCAACACCTCTTCCATAGTTATAGATGATACAAATATTTCTGCAAGGGGCCCCATAATTTCCTCCTTAACTTCCCACAATGTCCTGGGATACACTCGATAGGTCCCAGAAATTTATGCACTTTTGTATTTCTTCCAGCACTTCCTCTTCTGTAATGTGAACTGTTTTCCAAATATCAATGTTTATTTCTCGGAATTCTGGCCTCTGTTTTTCTCAACAGTAAAAATTGATGCAAAATGTTCACTCAGTACCTCTCCCATCTCCTGAGGTTCAACATAAGATGACCTCTTTCAGCTTTAAGGGGCCCTACTGTCCCTCGAGTTGTTCCCTTGTTCTTAATGAACTTGTAGAATCTCTTGGGATTATCCTTAACTTTATTTGCCAAGGCTAACTCATATCCTCTATTTGCCTTCCTGATCTCCCTCTTGAGAATACACCTTTATACGCCTCTTTATACTCAAGAGCTTCATTAGAAGCCAGTTGTCTATACATATGTGATTCATTTTTATTCTTGACTAGAACCTCAACACCTTTGTTAATCCTTGTTCTCTAATCATACCAGCCTTACATTTCACTCCAACAGGAACAATGATTCTGAACACTCGTAGTCACACTTTTGAAAGCCTCTCACTTATCAAAATATCCCTTTCCCTGCAAACAGTCAACTCCAAACAACTTTTCAAAGCTCTTGTCTCATTCCATTACAATTTGCCCTACTCGAATTAAAAAAAAAAATGGATTTTCATTGAAAGCTCATCCTTTTCCAAAACTATTTTAAAAAATAAATAGAATTATAATTACTAGACTCAAAGTGTTCCCCTATCACTCCAGTCACTTGCCCTGTCTTATTACAGAAGAAAAGGTCAGGTTTTGCTCCTTCTATAGTAGGAACATTCACATATTGATAAAGAAAAATTTCTTTGAACATATTTAACAAATAGGATATCCTTTACTGTCACGTGTACTCCAGTAGAGGAATGGTGCCATCTTCGGTACAAGTACCGGAGGTACAAATCTTGGATACAAAACAAGAATAAGTTAAAAAAGTTAAAAATAAGATAGAAGGAAGATAGGTACAATTCTGCACCATCCAAACCTCTAACACTGTGGTTGCTCCGATCAACGTTTGGAAAGTTAAATCACCGACTATCACAACATTATTATTCTTACATAATCAGAGATATCTCCCCATATTTGCTCCTCAATTTCCCTTTGTGCTATAGGACCCACAACAGTCAATCTAAAGGTGAGAATTCCTTTCTTATTTCTAATGTGAACCTATGATTTTTCACTGGTCAATTTTTCAGAGATATCTTCTCTAGTTACAGCAGTAATGTTTTTCCTTAATCAAAACTCCGTCCTCCTTTACCTCTCTTTCTATCCTTCCTATAGCATCTGAAACCCAGAATATTGAGCTGCCAGGCCTGTCCATCTCTCAGACAAGTTTCTCTAACAGCTATGACATCCAAATCCCATGTTCCCAAACATACCGAGTTCATCAGGCTTACCTGTAAGATCACTCGCCTTGAAATATATACAGTTTAATCCTTCAGAGTAACTTGGTTCTCTGAAATGCTAGTGCCCGTCTTTTCTAATTAACGCGTTCTTTTCAGATTCAAAAGCCCTCCTCATCTATCTTTCTACTTACTTTGCTACTTAGGATCCCTCCACACCCCCTTTCTAATAGATTTCCATCTCCCTTAATAGAATTAGCAAATCTTCCAGTTAGGATATTGGCCCTTTTCCAGTACAGGTGAAACCCATCCTTTTTGAATAGGTCTTTTCTGCCCCAGAATAGATCTCAATGATCCAAGAGCCTGAATCCCTGAACATTACGCCACCTCTGATTTATCTCCTTTATCCTTTCCCTCATTTAAGCTTGGCGTTGCGAGTAAACTAGAGATTACTACTTTCAAGTTCCTGTATTTTTTTAAAAAATCTTCTACCTGACCTCTTATATTCAATCTGTAAAGTATTAACCTTTTTCCTAACTATATCTTTCCTACCAATGTGTACAATAAGTCATCTTTAATTGCATGTTTCAAATGTTTTGGGAGGTCCTTAATCCTGGCACCGGGAAAGCAACCTATCATCCTAGATTCACGTTCGCTGCCACAGAATCTCCTCTGTGCACTTAACAGGACAGTCCCTTATAACAATTACTCTTAAATTTTGTCAAACCCTGCCTGACACAAGGTTCATTTTTAGTGCCCAAGATCTGACTGCCTTTTCTATTTTTCTCTGAGAGACTATCCTTTTCAACAGTACTTAAAATGGATTATCTGTTTGAGAGAGGAGTAGCCACAGGAGACTTCTGAACTACCTCATCTTTCCTGACACAGTCACCTATCTATCTGACTGATCCTGCTGTGTAATCACTTCTCTAAAGCTAATGGCCATCTGAGTCTGTGTCTCTTGTATGCCTTGGATGACATTAACTCTAAAAAAGAAGCAGCTTTCAATAGCACCTTATTTATAAAATAAAATACTGTTCCTTACCCAAAGAATTAATATCAAGCATGCAAAATAAAAATCACTTAGCTGAACAATCAAATTTAAAAAATGACTTGAGGACCAGCAGATGGCTTTCAATCTTCTGATAAAAAAAGCCTCACTCCAGAGCCATGTGTAGGCCTCTGCAAAAGCACCGTAAAGACAGCTCCGTTTAAAAAAAAACTCTCCTCCGCAATTTAAAACAAAATCTCTTTAGCAATGGTACATAAAAAAGTCTCCTTCTGAGCCATTAACACCGTTTGAAAAAAACCATGCGCTTTTTTTTGTTTTCTTTTGCATTTCTGAATATAAAAGAACCAAAAATGAATCAAAATAAAATTCTTATACTACTGAAATGTGGTAACTGTAAGAAACCTGGAAGTAAGCCAGCTATCTCAGGAGCAGATGCAAGATCCACTCTACGCCCAGTCCATGTTACTCAAACTTTATTTCATTTTCATACTATGTCACAGAATGAGAGCTTATTGCTGGTTTTAGTTTTAGGCTTTGCTCTTAGTGACAGAGATAAAAATATTAAGAGCTTTTCCTTGCAAGTCTCTGCAACTACTGTTCACATCCAGGTCTGTGAACAAACACAGTATCTCGGTCCAGATGGTATTATTGCCTAGCAACAGATCAGAACCTCGGCTTTTTGCAAGTCTCTTTGTCCAAAAATTAAGGGCCACAAAAGTCCAATTCTTGTCTTTTAACCACTCTTTGTGGACTTCTCTCCCAAAATTTACTTGCTTATCCAAATAATCCACAGGTAGACAAGGTGGTTAAGGCAGCGTACGGGATATTTGTCTTTATTAGTCAAAGTACCGAATACAAGAGCAAAGAAGTTATAATGGTGCTGACAATGTTATTTAGGTCATGGCTAGAGTATGCATTTCTGGACACCATATTGTAGAAAGGATGCAACTGCAAATCGAAAAAGGTGCAGAGGAGATTCATCAGGATGGTGCTTGGGCTGGAGTGATTCTGCTATGAAGAGACAGTAGATAGGCTGGCATTGTTTTGCTTACAGCAGAGAAGACTGGGAGTGGGGGGGGGGGGGGGGGGGGGGCTGATTAAGGGGTAGAAAATTCTGAGTATCACTGACAGAGTAGATGGGGTGCAAACTTTTCACCAAGAGAAGAGGTCAATAAATGTGGAGCATAGATATGCAGCAGGAGGTTTGAGAGAGGATTTAAAGGAAATATTTTTTCACCATCTTCAATAAGAGAGAAGAGAGAATTTAACAATCGTCGCTGGACATTCAATGGTGCCATCATCACCGAATCCTCAACTATCAACATTCTGGAGGGGTTAGCATTGACCGGAAACTGAACTGGACTAGCTATATAAATACAGTGTCTTCAAGTGCATATCAGAGGCTCGAAATACTGCAGTGAGTAACTCACCCCCTGACTCCCCAAAGCCTGTCTACCCTTGACAAAGGGCAAATCAGGACAGATTTCTTCCTATTTGCCTGGATGCGTGGAGGTCCAGAAGTACTCAAGGAGCCTGACACCAAAGGACAAACCAGCACCACATCCACCACTGACACACAGTAGCAGCAGTGTGTACCACTGACAAACTGCACTGCAAAATTCACCAAAAGTCCTGGAACAGCACCTTCCAAATCCACGACCACTTCCATCTAGGAGGACTAGAGCAGCAGGTACACTTGCAAGTGCCCCTCCAAGCCAGTCACCATCCTGACTTAGAAATCTATCACCATTCATTCAAATTTGCTGGGACCAAATCTTGGAATTCCCTCCCTAATAGCATTGTGCATTTACCCAGACCACACAGTGTTTCAAGAAGCAACAAAAGATGTGCAATAAGTGCTGGCCCAACCGGTGAAGTCCATATTCTATAAATTAAGTTTTTTAAAAACAGAATGTGATGGAAATCTGGGATTCACTGCCTAAAAAGGTGGAAGAGGCAGGAACCATCAAGGCATTTAAGAACTCTAATGCAACAAGCCAAGTGCTGGAAAACAGGATTAGAACAGATGTTTGTTTGGTGACTGGCACAGGCAAAGTGGGCCAAAGGGACTCTTTCCACATTGTAAAAACTCTCAACATGAAGTAAGCAAAATGGGTCTTCTGTAGTGAAACAAACAAACATTCTGAGAAACTAATACAAATATTGCATTTTCTCACTGAAAAGGCTGGAGGCAGGTGATGGTTTGGCTTATACACCTAGAATGCACAAAAGCACGATTTTTGGTACTGTACAAAACAGGGTTATCCTGTATACCACGATCCAAGGTGCTCACAACAGTGTCAAATAAGGTACATATAATTTCAGATCTGACCCACCACATTTACCTTTCCTAGACCCATTCAAATGCTGATCGGAGTGCAGAAAACATACAATGACCAGACAGTAAGAACGAAAATTCTACTGGACATAGAGTGGGTGTAGGTCTATCACCTCACCTCAACAATCTATTAATTTTTTACCTCACCGCAGCCTTTTCCATCTGATTACTGCAATTATCCCGATAATCACCAATGCAGCAACAACCGACAACGTTATAATTCTTGCAGTGGAGCTTCTGCTTTGATCCTCCACTGTTTCTGAAAAATATTTGAATAATAAGCGATGTCACTATGTTCCTGAATTCATATTCAAATTCTGTCTTGTTGAAGGATGATTCTCACCAAACCTGCCTGTCCAGAAAGTGATGTACATACATACCCCACTGATAGAGCTTGGCCTCTGCCAGGCTGCTGTGTTCAATTTGACAGGAATATTGATCCTCATCCCCAGCACTGATTTCAATCTCTTTCTGGATCTGATGGGTCCCATCATGGTTCGGCCGAACCCCTGAGGATTGTGTCTCAGACATGACCTCTCCATTCCTTAGCCAGGTCACCACGATTTCTACTGGGTAAAATCCAGTGACCAGGCAGGAGAGAGTGAAAGACTTGTCCTGATGACGGAGTTCACTCCTGGAGATGAACACTTCAGGCTCAACTATGATGGGAAAGGGTGAAAACACAAACCATGTATGAAAGGTAATGAGCGGAACAAGGAGTAGTTTCATAGATCTGTATGTGATCAAAATGAAAACATACCTTTCCTTTCGAAATATTGTTTTCCAACCTCCAAATCCAACAGCAATTGCTCCAGAAATACTTCTTCCAGATGGGTTTTCCAATACTTGGTCCAGGATGCATCAGAATTCCACTTCTCAGTTGTCATTACTGCACGGTGGTTGGTTGCAATCCATCTCATTCTCTCTGGCTCTAAACTAATATAGTCTCTTCCGTCATACCCAAAACGCATTGATATCTTAACGGAGCCATCTTCAGTTATTTCAGCACAACTTATCCATTGAAACAGGTGAATTCCTTTCAGTGATGAACAAAGGGATCAAAAACCAACATTTAATGATACATCACATGCTGTCTGAATAGAGACAACAGGCATCTAATTTCAGGTAGAAATGGGAGCTTACAGTCAGAGCCTAGTCAGAAAAAGAAGAGGATTCAGTTGAAAATGTATCCCAATTGTCGCGACTGTGAATTCAGTCTGAAAGTCTGAACTTTCTAATCATTTGAACCTGATGAGTGGTCAGAAGTCAAACAAAAATGGTTATTGGGAAATTAAGCATGCAACCAGGATCCAGTGGTCTTAGAAAAGGCCAGTAAACTAATGACAAGTCTTAACTCCCATAGATTAATAGCAAACAACAAATTAATTCCCAAGAAGCTAATAACTTGAATTAATAGTCAACATATTAATCCCAGGATGCTTATATGCGTTGGTTTCAGCAAATTTACAACAGGAGTTAACTGCCAGTCAGTGGTTAATTCCCAGATGTTGAAAATAAAGCATTAATTTACGACGTGCTAATAATGGGAGATAGTTTCCAGCTACCAACAGGAATTAATTCCTACCATGTTAAAAATACAAGTCCAACGTACAAACAACAGAAGTTTATTCCCAGCACATTATGCGTGGTTTTAATTTACAAGATGCTAACAATGAGAGGTAACTCAAACATGTGAAAGTTAGGAGTTATTCCCAACTGCTGAAGAATATATTTAGTTTAAAGTCACTACGGACAATGTGATGAAATCTCTCGTTATTTCCAGTTTTTTCTTTGCACTAAGCAAGCCAGCAAACTATAGCAATTTCTATTGATAGAGATTTCCAGGGGTTGCTAGGTGCCAACAAAAGGGAGGGGCTTACCATAAGACTGCAACAGATTACTCAGCACAAAGAATAGCAGTTTAAAATTTTCAGTACCTGACTGTAAGGTCAGTGTGAAGGTGACAGAGTGTGGACGGCATGTTAGGAGTCCTGATTTTTAGCTGCCCTACAGCAAAGGCAACTGAACTACAGGATTTCCGTGTATTTGACATATGGAGTTAAGTTCCAAGAGCAGATGGATGTCTGTGTTGTTGGAACCATGGCCAAGTTCTCAAAGACGTTAGGCAACCAGGTGTTGCCATCAGGGCTTAGGAAACGTGATGGTAGTTCACCAGAAACCAGCTGTCACCAATAGTTCAGTATGGTTGAGAGTAATCATTGAAAAACCAAGAGTAACTGCTTGATGCAGCTCAGCAAGATGGGAGAGCTCAGGAAAAACGCAAAGAGAGATTCAGCTTGGTAAAGCCAGCCTGAGTTGTGGCAGTGAATCAGTACTGGAGTGCTGTTTGCAGAGTCTGGGGCAGCATGGACACAGGCAGGAGGGTGACCAACTCTAACAAGAGCAGTCATTGAGGCAGTCCATGACAGACCACAAAGCATGGGATCAGAAATAGTCAATTGGCCCTAAAAGACTGCTTTGCCATTTGATCACTGCTGCTGATAAGTGGCTCAAGAGTGGATTTAAAGACCAGACTAGACCAGCAAAAGCAAAGAACTGTAAACCCTTGTGAAGTTCAATGAGATTTATTGACTGATTGCATGTAAGCTTAACCTCTGGAGGATTTGCTGAGAAAGCTGTAGGATCTGCCTTGATCGCATTTGATGCATAACTAAAATCATTTGAGAAGCTGGTGATGAGCTGCCTTTTTGATCCCTGCAATCCTGGTGCTGTAGGTACACCCACAGTGCCAGAGGAATTCCAGGATTTTTGACTCAGCAACAGAAAAAGATATGTTGATATTTTTCCAAGTCAGGATGGTGGCTGGCTTGTAGGAGAACTTCTAAGGTGGCAGTGTTCCGCTGTATCTCTTGCCCTTGTCCTTCGAGATGGAAGTGATTACGGATTTTGAAGGTGCTATCTGAAGATCTTGGAATGCTTGTTCAGAGATCAGCAGATGGCAGGACTGATTAATACAGTAGTTTAAAAAGGCATATGTGATGCTTGCCTTGATTAGTCATGGCACAGATTAGAAGAGCAAGGCGGTCATGTTGGAGCAGGACTGAACATTGGTTAGGCCACAGCTGGAGCACTATGCGCTCTTCTGATCACCATCTTCCATGTCATGGGGTTTCCATGTATCTGCTGCCCTTGACCTTCTGGATGGTAGAGATCAGGGGATTGAAAGGTGCTGTCTGAAGAATCTTTGGTGAATTTCTGCAGTGCATCTTGCAGATTATACACACTGCTGCTACTAAGCATCGGGGAAGAGGTAGTGGTTGTTTGTGGATACGATACCAATAAAGTAGACTGCTTTGGCCTGGATAATGTCAACCTTCTTGATTTTGGAGCTGCACACACCCAGTCAAGTGGGGAGTATTCCATCACACTTCTCACTATGCCATGTAGATGGGGCTAGGCTTTGTGGAGTCAGGATGAGAAGTACTCCACTGGCTTCTGGGCCCCATTCTTTTCACTCTTGAGGCTCCCCTATCTCACATCCAGCTTCCCTCTCCTACAGCTGAAGCCCAGTCAAAATTGCACGTTTACTTGTACACTAATTCATTGGCGCACGAAAATCACACGTGATAACATCAGTGCTTGGAACGGTGCGTTCCTGAATGAGCACACACATGTAGTTTGTCTGCAATAACTTACTTTTTGACATGTGCATGGGGTGCCTGATCACAGCCTATTACTCAAAGTTAGCACGTTACTTCTGTGTATTAGAAGTAAGTTATACATGCATTGTTGACTGAAATACTGATGCAACTTGTATGGCACTATGTCACCACAGTCCAGAGGACCATAGGGCACAGAAACACAACTGGTAGTGAGCTTAACTCATCTCAGTCAAGGGACAAGGTTGAGAAACTGGGACCTACATAGTAACCTAAGCCAGTGTGGAATATGAACTGTTGGCATCACTCCGCATTGCAAATCCGGCATCCAGACAACTGAGCCAAGAAAAGCCACCAAATACAGTGTGGACCCTAAATAACTAAACACACAAAAGAAAAATGTTAACTGCATTACACTACACAAAAGAACTATTAGAATGATCTCTGTACAACTTTCAGGAAGAGAGTTGCATCCATTTTTACTCACAGCAATACCCTTACAATCTTCAAATCACAATAAAGAACTATCCTGCTGTGCATGCGAAAGCCTTTTGCCCAGGAGGCATGGTGTTAACCCAGCTTCCTTTTGGCAAATTTGCTAGCATTCACACAATCCTATCGTCTTTAATTAAAGTCTCCCTCTGAAAAGCTTAAGAGAAGCAGAAAAATTCAGTCCACTTAACATGGTTTACCTGAGCTCATACCTTTAGAGTAGGCAATGACCTAGTGGTATTATCGCTAGACTATTAATCCAGAAACCCAGCTAATGGTCTGGGGACCCAGGTTCAAATCCCACCACAGCAGATGATGGAATTTGAACTCAATAAATAATAAAAAAAAAGAGCCTGGAATTAAGAATCTACTGATCACCATGAAATCATTGCCGATTGTCAGAAAAATCCAACTGGTTCACTTAGGTCCTTCAAGGAAGGAAATCTGTCACCCTCACCTGGTCTGGCCTACATGAGACTCTCAACTGCTCTCTGAAATGGCCTAGCAAGCCATTCAGTTGTATCAGTCGCTACAAAGTAGCGGAGAAATGAAATCAGACAGATCACTTGGCATCGACCTAGGTGCTGGAAAAGACAGTGGAAACAACCCTGTTGACCCTGATAAATCCGCCTCACTAACATCTGGGGGCGAGTGCCAAAATTGGGAGAGCAGTTTCACAGATTAGTCAGACAACAGCCTTACATTGTCTGTAAGGTATCATACTGTGAGAATGACTATGCTCCAGACACCACCATCACCAACCCTGGACATCTCCCGTCCCAGGCAGGACAGATCCAGAGGTGACGGCACATCGGAGTACAGTCGGGAAGACATTGTTCTGGGAGTCCTTAACATGGGATCCAGAATGCATGAAATCTCATGGCTTCAGGTTAAACATGGGCAAGGAACCCTCCTGCTGATTACCACATACCATCCTGCCTCAGTTGATGATTCGGTACTGCTTTACATTGAGCAACACGAAGGAAGCACTGAGATGGCAAGGGCACTTGGGTACTCTGGGTGGGGGATTTCAATGTCCACCACCAAGAATGGCTCAGCAGCAGTGCTACAGATCGAGTTGGTCAGGTTGTAAAAGACATACATGTTAAACTGGATCTGTAGCAGGTGGTGAGGGAACCAACAGGAGGGAAAAGCATACTTGACCTCATCCTTACCAATCTCCCAGCTTCAGTTGCATCTGTCCATGACTGTCTCCACAAGGACTGAGCAATGGTCACTCTTACCGATACTATGTCCCACCTTCACATTGAGAATGACTTCCATCATGTTGATTGGCACTATTACTAAATGGAACAGACTTTGCAAAGATCTAGCAACTCAAGGCTGGGCATCCATGAGGCACTGTGGACCATCGAAAGCAGCAGTATTGTACTTCAGCACAATCTGTAACTTCATGGCCTGGCATATCCCCCACTTAAAATATTACCATCAAGTCAGGAGTTCAAACTTAGTTCAATGGGGAGTACAGGAGGGCAGGCCTGGTACAGCACAACACATACCTGATGAGGAGGTGTCAACCACGTGACAGACAGCACATCAAACAACAAAAAGCAGCAAGTTATATACAGAGCTAAGTGATCCCACAACCAACAGATCAGATCTAAACTCTGTTTATCCTGCCACATCCAGTCATGAATGGTGGTGGACAATTAAACAATTCACTAGAGGAGGAGACTCCATAAATATCTCCATCCTCAATGATGGAAGAGCCCAGCACATCACTGCATTTGCAACAATCTTCAGCCAGAAGTGCCAAGTGGATGATCCATCTCAGCCTCCTCCAGTGGTCCCCAGCATCACAGATATCGGTCTTCAGCCAATTCAATTCACTCCACATGATATCCACAAGAAACAGCTGGAGACACTGGATACAGCAAAGGCCACAGGCCCTGACAACATTCCGGCAATAGTACTGAAGACTTGTGCTCCAGAACTTCCCGCTCCCCTAGCCAAGCTGTTCCAGTACAGTTACAACACTGGTGTCTAACTAGTAACGTGGAAAATTGCCCAAGTATGTCCTCTACACAAAAAGGAGAAATCCAACTCAGCCAATTACTGACTCATCAGTAAAGTGATGGAAGATGTCATCAACAAGTGCTATCAAGCAGCACCTGTCCAGTTTGGGTTCCACCAGGGCCACTCAGCTCCTGACCTCATTACAGCCTTGGTTCAAATATGGACAAAAGAGCTGAATTCCAGAGATGAGGTGAGAGTGACAGCCCTTGACATCAAGGCTGCATTCGACCAAGCATAGTATCGAGGAGCCCTAGCAAAACGGCAATCAATGGCTATCAGGGTGCAAACTCTCCAGTGGTTGGAGTCATACCTGACACATAGGAAGATGATCGTGGTTGTTCGAGGTTAATCATCTCAGCTCCAAATCATCTTGGCAAGATTTCCTCAGGTAGTCTCCTTGGCCCAACCATTTTCAGCTGCTTCAATGACTTTCCACCCATCATAAGGTCAGAAGTGGTGATGTTCGCTGATGACTGCACAATGTTAAGCAATATTCACGACTCCTCAGATACTGAAGCAGTCCACATTCAAACGCAACAAAATTTGAACAATATCCAGGCTTGGGCTGACATGAGGCATGTGACATTCACACCACACAAATGCCAGGCTATGACTATCACCAATAAGAGACAATCTAACTACCGTCCCTTGACATTCAATGGTGTTACCATCACCGAATCCCCACAATCAATATCCCAGGGGTTATCATCAACCAGAAACTAAATTAGACTCGCCACATAAACAGTGGCTACAAAAGCAGGTCAGAAGCTAGGAATACTGCAGCCAATAACTCAGCTCCTGACTTCTCAAAGCCTGTCCACCATTTACAAGGCACAAGTCTTGATGGAATACTCACTACTTGCCTGGGGTGGTGGTCAACTAAACAATGAGTGCAGCCCCAACAACACTCAAAAAGCTTGACACCATCCAGGACAAAGCAGTCCTTTTGATTGGCACTACATCCACTCCCTCCACCATTGACACTCAGTAGCAGCAATATGTACTGCAGAAATTCACCAAAGATCCTCAGAGAGCACCTCAGTGGACTGCAGCAGTTCAAGAAGGCAGCTCACCACTAACTTCTCATGGGCAACTAGGGATCGACAAGAAATGTTGGCCGGCTAGCGACACCCACATCCCACAAATGGTTAACAAAAAAAGCCTCATAGGATGCCTTCTTCTTGGATAATCCATTTAGCGAGTGGAACTTATTCCCCAAAAACCGTCCCCCAGCCCCAGTTGTTTGGAGACTGCTCATAAAAGCATCTGCTCTCTGACTGGGCCTGCTTCTGTTCCTCTTTTTCAGTGTTTTGCTGGAGGTCATAAACCTCAAGTCAGCAAACTCCTAAGCAATTATCTCCCGAGTAGCATGCATTTTGTTAGAAGCCACAAAACTCCATGCAAGTGCTGGTTTGTACTTTGTTAAAAAGGATGGTGACGTTCAAAAAAGGTCCGATATTCTCAGACTTAAATCTACATACATTCCCTTTAGAACACGAAGTCTCAAAAATAATATACGAACATTCATAGCACAAGGTTTTTGAAATATCTCATGATTTAAAAAAGAAAGAGAGGTTCAGAAAATGATGGTGGGAAAGATTGATCCTACTGAAGGAACTCTATTCCTTACAGGAAGCTTCAAACCAGTAACCCAGAGCAGCACGATGGCTCAGTGGTTAACACTGTGCCAGGAGCCCAAGTTCAATTCCACCATGGGTCAAATTGTTTGTGTGGAGTTTACACATTCTCTCCGTGTCTGCATGCGTTTCCTCCAGGTGCTCCAAAGAATTGCAGGTTAGGTAGCTTTCCTGTGCTAAATTGCCCAAAAAGTGTTTAGGTGTCTTAACCATGGGAAATGCAGGGTTACAGGGATAAAGAAGGGGGTGGGTCTGGGCAGGATGCTCTTCTGAGAGTCGGTGTGGGGATTTTGTGTGGTTAGTAAGTTTGCAAATGATACCAAAATTGCAGATGTAGTTAGTACAACAGGATCCTGATCAGATGGGCCAATGCGCCGAGGAGCGGCAGATGGAGTTTAAATTTAGATAAATGTGAGGTGTTGCATTTTGGAAAGGCAAGTCACAGCAAGCCTTATATATTTAATGGTAAGGTCATGGGGAGTGTTGCTGAACAAAAAGACTTTGCAGGTTCATAGTTCCTTGAAAATGGAGTCACAGGTAGATAGGATAGTGAAGGCGGCATTTGGTATGCTTGCCTTTATTGATCAGTGCATTGAGTATAGAAATTGGGAGGTCATATTGCGGCTGTTCAGGACATTGGTTAGGCCACCATTGGAAAACTGTGTGTAATTCAGGTCTCCCTGCTATAGGAAGGATGTTATGAAACTTGAAAGGGTTCAGAAAAGATTTACAAGGATACTGCCAGGGACAGAGTGAGAGCTATAGGGAGAGGCTGAATAGGCTGGGGCTATTTTCCCTGGAGCGTCAGAGGCTGAGGGGTAACTTTATAGAGGTTCATAAAGTTATGAGGGACATAGATATGGTAAGTAGACAAGGTCTTTTTCCTGGGGTAGGGGAGTCCCTAGAGGGTAGAGGCTGAAGGAGAGAGGGGAAAGATGTAAACGGGACCTAAGGGGCATCTTTTTCCACACAGAGGGTGGTGGTATGTATGGAATGAGCTGCCAGAGGAAGTGTAGGAGGCTGGTACAATTACAACATTTAAAAGGCATCTGGATGTGTGTATGAATAGGAAGGGTTTAGAGGGATATGGGCCAAATTCTGGCAAATCGGACTAGATTAATTTAGGATATCTAGTTGGCATAGGTGAGTTGGATCAAACGGTCTGTTTCCGTGCTGTACTTCTCTTTGACCCTAAATCATTTAGTTGCTGGGTCATTAAATTATATTGTTGGACAGTGAATGCAGATATACAGTGTATGGTGTAGATTATTGAAAGGTAACATTTTAAGCAATGCAGCCCAAATTAAGTCTAAGGAATTTGATAATGCTTTGAGCTTCAGGTTTGTAGTTGACCAGAAACATTTAATAAAAAAAAATTTAAAATTCCCAACAAACTAGCTGGGGTAAACACTTACCAACATGAATTTGCAAACAGGAACAGGAGTAGGCCATTGGGCCCCTTTACTCTTCCCTGACAATTAATAAGGCGGTGGTTGACCTGATTACAATCTTAAATCCATGCTTACCCATGACAACATTTCATTCTCAATCCATATAAATGCCTTAGATGTCTTAAAAATATTCAAGGACTCTGCTTCCACCACCTCATCAGGAAGAGAGTTCCAAAACTCTCGACTCCATGATAAAAAGCTTCTTCTCATCTCGATTTCAAATGTGACCACTTATTTACTAACAGTAAGCCCTAATTCTGAGATCTTCCATAAGAAGTCTGCAGTATAAAATGTTGTTGACTGTATTGTGCATTGTATCTCACTGACATTGATTCAAAAGGACAGTCAACTTGATCTTACCAGAGGTCTGGTTCATCCCCTTCATTATTGTATGGAGATTCTCCTTTGCTATAGTTGAATGTGAATTTGCGATATCGGTGACAACATTCCAAGTTTCTATACCGAAAGAGTCTTCCATGAACTTCTGCCTGGGAATCATTCGCCGGATCTTTGTATCGTGATAATTAAGTTGAATTCCTTTCACAATTGCAATGTTCGTCACGTCAGGAAAGTCATCAATGCCAGAGACTGCCATGTACAGCACCGTCAGTGAATTAGAGTCTATAAAACAAAAAAGGGGAAGAGGCAGATTATCAACCACGCACACTGACGACCACCAAAGGTTTACCCACAGTGCCAATCTTCAATAATCCACCACTTCCTTGCACTGACAGAATTCTGTCTGATACAAAATCATATCAAACTGGGTCAGAATTAGACGACTGCAGTCTCTCAGAACAAGGGGTAAGCATGGAAACAGAGTGACAAAGAAACCCAATTGATGTAGATGTGGGGTATGTATTGGGTCCTAAACAGAAGATCTCGAATTACCTCAGTTATTACCTCAGATATTCTCACTCTCTAATTCAAAGATAATCTGGGACACCCTGGATCTATGACTAACCTGGAACAGCAATGAGTTAAAGCTAACTTGAGGAAACCTTTGGAGAAAGACAGTGAGGTGATGCTTCTGACTAGGGAACATTTGGAGTCAGGAATTCAGGATAATCCAAGGGCAGGTCTGTGGTTTATCACCATAACCAGGAAGGGAATTGTGTCAGTTAATCTGGATTGTTGGATCTCCACCATCCTGCAGAGCTTTTTAACTCTTTATACATCGGCAGTCAAATACTGCTGATGTGAGATAATCTGTCCTATTCAATCATGACGGCATCACTTCTGAACCTGGGGTGGGTTAAACACAAATTATCCATCTCCCAGCAGTGTTTAGAAGACTTGAGACCAGGAATGAAGAAGTGGGTCTGTTTCTCTCAAATGATATTGTTATGGGCCAGACCAGAGCTCCTCAAAATATTTAAGATTGTAGCGCAAACTCTAACTTTTTCTTATTTTAAAGGTATATGCGAAGTGTGTTCCAGATGCAATGCAATTGGTCAAATTACTCGACATTAAGCAAAACACAATTTATTTGCACACTATAATTAAAACACCAACAAAAGAAAGAGGAATTTAGAATAACTTAACTATTGGGAAACTTAACTGAACAATAGATACAGTAACTATTACTAATTAATTGTTCCAAAATAGTAACACCCCATCAACACAACCCTTGGGAAAAAGGGAAGTTCAGTCACAGATTCTTACATGCTGTTCTCCAAGCCAGGAGGAAAAACATTAAGTGAAATTTCAGAGAAAGTAGCAACTAGGAATCATTCACTGAAGCTTCCAACTTTGCTGGGACCCCAAACAGCTACTGACTGCCAAAAAAAAGACCAGAAATCCTGATCTGAGAGAGTTGGCCACATCCATTCAGGCTGTTTTAAAAACAAACCTAAGGCTTCACAAGTGTTTTACTTTCGTGGTTCTGGTATACTACTCCACACCACTACCTTTACAACTTCTCTTTAAAAAAATAAAGGAAAAAAAAACAACCTTTTAAAGTGATAGCATCATCACAATATGAAAATTAAAACTGTCCATTTGAACCATTTCCGGCGTGCTCTGACCTTCTCTAATCTCAGGGTTTCTACACCCTGCTGTTTGGAGACCTGGACACAAAGCCCATCACAGTCTTCCATAAGGCCATGAGAAATAGGAACAGGAGTAGACCAATCGACCCCTCAAGTTGCTCCAAACATTCAACAGGATCCTGGCTGATCTGACATTCCTTATGTCCACTTTCTTGCCATTTCCTATAACCCTCGATTTTCCAAATAAATCAGGATTCTATCAATCGCAGTCTTAAAGATAAAACAACTCTACCCACCGCAGCTCTCTGTGGCAAGGAATTCCACAGACTCACAACACTCAGAGGAAATGCCTTCTCAGCTCAATCTTAAATTGGAAGCCCTTTATCCCGAGACAGAGATCCTTAGACAGCACCTTCCAAACCCATGACCATTTCCATCCCCATCTGCAAGTTCCCCTCCAAGTCACTCACAATTCTAACTTGGAAATAAGTTGGCATTCATTCACTGCTGCTGAGTCAGAATTCCAGATTTCCCTCTCTAACAGCATTGTGTCTACCCACTGCAACACAAGAAGACAGGTCATCACCACCTTCTCAAGGGCAAGTACGTATCGGCAATAAATGCTGCCCGGTCAATGACGCCCACATCCCATGGGAGAATAAAAAATAACTATGTCCTGTGCTCCTAAACTCTCCCATGAGGGGAATCATCCTCTCAGATCTGTTTCTAATGAACAGAGTGCACGCACGCAATTGAGCAACTGCAATAGAAAGAGAGGAATTGGAAGGCTGTTTTTGTACTTACCAGCATAGGCCCATGGAAAACATAGGGAGATGGAGAAAACGATCAGCAACATTCTGGAAATCCACTCTCCCTATTCCAATCAGAGACTGGAACTTAAACTCCGAGTGATAGGAAAACAACTGTATGTAAACTAGAAAGAGAAAGAAAAAACAACCCATTCTATTGGACTCTATTTTAACAAAACTTGAACTGTACAGCCAGAGGGTGAATGATTGGTTAGTCTTGAAAAAAAAACATTTAAAAGGGATAAACAGCAGACTGTCATCAGTTACCAGAAGGATCAAAGTCAGACAGCTTTTGAGCTTCTGAGATGAACGCAGAGAATGATGGAGAAACTCTGCACGTCTGGCAGCATCTGTGCAGACAGAGTTAACATTTTGAGTCCAGAACGACTGTTTCTCATAAATAGGCCGATTGGGAAAAGGTGAAGTACGTTTAGTTACAGGCCGGCTCACAGGGAATGAATGGCTGTCTGGGTGCCGTTTAAAAATAAGGCCAAGACTTTTCGGTACGGGATGTACTATGCAGAGAAAAGACTTCCTGCCTGTATGCCCCACCCCCACCCACCAATCTGCAAATTTGCCAATCTACTTGCACCTACGTAATTACTAAGCTGAGAGTCTCATGATCTCAAGAGACCACTTGCCCCAAAGGAAAAGCCACGTCCAAAGGCAAACTTGATATCCTGAATGAAACATTTCATCTGAAGATTTGAGATAACAGACCTTATCCGCCAGCCCCAGAGCATACGAAAAGGCACGAGTATCTCTGGTTCCACCCCAGCCCTCTGTGCGCCCTGTAAACCTGACACTGGTCCTCCTTCTCCTCCGGAACTGCGATACTGACTCTGGTTGGACTGGGGCTATACTACAACAAATTACAGTCAGACACCACCATTGACATTGTGAATGATCACACAGAGAAATTCATTAAGCAGGAAGGAAGTGATGTGGAAAATTGCTCAGCTGTACCCCACCCACACACACAAAAAAGGAACTCAGCAAAGATCTGAAACATGCAAAAACAAATTGATGGAAAAACTCAGCAGAGCTGTGGAGAGAAAACAGAGCTAACATTTTGAGCTTGGCCTGCTGTGTTCATCCAGCCCTGCACCTTGTTGTCTAACATTTTGAGTACACTGACCCTTCTTCAGAACTGATAACAGCTAGGAAAAGGTGGTATTTATGCTGTCAGAGGTGGGGGATGCCCGAGGCCGGAGAGAGAGAATTGTGTGTGTGTGTGGTGTGTTGTGTGTGAGTGAGATTAAAGGGCAGGCAGACAAAGGGTTTGTTGCTAACAAGCCTGGGAGCAATCAAACCAGGGAAGAAAACATGCTTGATAAGTGATAATGGGGGTTACGAGTGGGTGAAAATGGTTATGCTAGTTTGAAAGCAACCTGAAACCTGAAAGCCAAAGAACTGATTTGAATAGTTATATTCCTGTCTTTACTTTCAGAAGGTATCATCAATAGTACTGTAGAAGAACATTTACACTGCAATAACCTGCTCACTGATGCCTAGTTTTGAGTTCAGCCAAGGTTACTAATCTCAATGTCATGATTGACTCAATAAGGTCCTGGGAAGTCTTGCTGAACAAAGAGACCTTGGAAATCACGTACATAGTTCCTTGAACGTAGAGTCCCAGGTAGACAGGATAGGGCAGTATGAGCAAACGCACAGGCTTGTGTGAAGATCAATTAACCCCACTTTCACAGACAGAGCAGGTGACTACTACAGCATGAACTTTACATGTCAGAGGTTAGGATGAACAGTGAACCCCTTCTTGTTAACAGGTGAGGGAATGACCATCCTCACAGTGTGAACATACTGGTGTATGTAAGTGGGGTGGGCAACTGAATCCCTTGCCATGCACAGAATAGGCAATGGCTACTCCCCACTGTGGCTAAGTTGATGAATTCCCATCTTGAATGGATAATCCAATCCTTTCGCACTGTCCCCACATCTCCAGAGATTCTCCATAGTCATTGGAACCATAGACTTGTACAGCACGGAAACAGATTCGTCGGTATAACCCGTCCATGCTGACTAGATATCCTAAATTAATCTAGTCTCATTTACCAGCATTTGATCCATATCCCTCTAAACCCCTCCTATTCATATAAACATCCACATGCCTGTTAAATGTTGTAACTGTACCAGCCTCCACCACTTCTCCTGGCAGCTCAATCCATACACACCACCACCCTCTGCGTGAAAAGGTTGCCCCTTAGGTCCCTTTTACATCTTTCCCCTCTCACCTCAAAACTATGCCGTCCAGTTTTGGACTCCCCCATCTCTGGGGAAAAGTCCTTGGCTATTCACCCTATGAAACGTCCATCATGATTTTATAAACTGCCATGAGGTCACACCTCAGCCTCCAACTCTTCAGGGATATAGCCCCAGCCTATTCAGCATCTCCCTATAGCTCAAACATTCCAATCCTGGCAAAATCCTTGTAAATCATTTCTGAACCCTTTCATGGTTCACAACATTCTTCCTACAGTGGGAGATCAGAACTGAACGCAGTATTCCAACACTAGGCTAACCAATGTCCTGCACAGCTGCAACATGACCTGCCAACTCCTATATTCTCAATGCACTGACCAATGCAAGTATACCAAATACCTTCTTCCCTATCCTGTCTACCTGTGACTCTACGTTCAAGGAACTATGCACGTGATTTCCTAGGTCTCTTTGTTCAGCAAGACTTCCCAGGACCTTATCATTAAATGTTAAGTCTGCCCTACTTTGCCTTTCCAAAATTCATCACCTCATATTTCTCTAAATTAAGATCCATCTGCTACTCCTCAGTCCATTGACCCATCTGATCAAGGTCCTTCTTTGCTGTCCACAACATCTCCAATTTTGGTGTCATCTGCAAACTTACTAACCGTACCTCCTATGTTCATATCCAAATGATTTATACAAATGATAATAAGCAGTGGACCCAGCACCGATCTTTGTGATACATTGTGGATCACAGGCCTCCAGTCTGAAATGCAGCCCTCTACCTTTGAGCCAGTTCTGTATCCAAATGTATTCCATGTAATCTAACCTTGCTAACCAGTCTATCCTGAGGAACCTTGTTGAACGCCTGACTGATATCCATACAGATCACTTCCACCGCTCTGCCTTCATCAATCCTCTTCATTACTTCTTAAAAAAAAACCACACTCAGGTTGAGAAAAATGAGCACATATAAAATTTATGGGGTGACAGAGTTTTTACAGCATAGAAGGCCTCTTCAGCCCATTGTGTACACATGGACCATCAACCATCTATTCTGATCCCATTTTCCAGCATTTGGATCATAGCCTTGCATGCTATGGTGTTTCAAGTGCTCATTCAAATACTTCTTGAATTTATTGGATCTATCATCATTTTAGGCAGTGAGTTCCAGATACCCACCATCATTTGGGTCAATTCAATTTTTCAAATTTTCTCAAGACTTCCTGTTCCTTACTTTAAAACTGTGCCTCCAGTTATTGACAACTCTACGGATGAGAAAAGTTCTATATCTATATCCTTCATAATTTTGTACATCTCAATCAGGTTCCCCCTTAGCCTTCTCCGCTCCAAGAAAAACAACCACTGCTCATCTCGTCCTTGTTCATAGCTGAATCACTCCAGTCCAGGAAACATGCCAGTCAGTCAGTCAGTCAATTTCCTCTGCACCCTCTTGAGTGCAAATCACAACCTTCCAAAAGTGTGGCGACAATTACTGTGCACAGTACTCTGACTATTAAAGGCATTCCATGTTTCATTTTAATACCTAACACGAATTCCCAGCCCCTCACAATACTAATTTGCTCTCATTTTCACAGCCGCTGAGGCAGTCATTAATGGCTTTGTGCAAGGCTATTTAATTACTATAGCAGAGGTGAAACTTCAGTGTTTCAGACACAGTATTCCAGGTAAGATGGATAGAGATTTGGGAAGTGACAACACATTCAAGTATTTTGGAGAGAACAGGAAGGTTGGAGTCAGGTTGTAGTTTTCAGAGACAGAAGTGTCTATAGTTTTTTTTTGTAGGACTGGAGTGACAACAATGCCAATTTTTGAAGAAAACAGGGACAGATTTAAAAAACAAAGCAGTGGTCAATATATAAGCTAACACAGGGAAAGAATGTTTTGTGAACAGCAATGCACAAGTAGTAGTATTAAGGAAGCAGGAGGTGGGTCTCATAAGATAGATATGCTGTCTGCCAGCACGAGTGGAGAGATGACCTGGATGTACTCTAATATTACACTTTAAAAACACCAGCCACTATAAATTTCCAATACTACATACTGCAATGACACAAAACCCAGTACTGAAATCTGCAGACATAGAATCCCTACAGTGTAGAAGCAGGCTATTTGAATCATCGAGTGCACACTGACCCTCCGAACAACATGCCACCCAGCCCCACACCCCTACCCTATCCTTGTAACCCTGCATATCCCATGGCTAATCCAACTAGTCTGCACATTCCTGGACACTATGGCAATTTAGCATGGCCAACCTATCTAACATGCAAATCTTTGGATGTGGGAGAAAACCGGAGCACCCAGCAGAAACCATGCAGACGCAGGGAAAATGTGCAAACTGCACACAGACAGACAGTTGCCCAAGGCTGGAATCAAATTCAGATCCCTGGTGCTGTGAGGCAGCAGTGCTAACCACTATGCCACCTAAGTTATCTATTTCCTTTTGAAGGTTCCTTGTGTCATTTTCACAATTTATTCTGAGTTATTCTTGTTCACCATCCTAACAACCCCAGATGATGAGAATGCTAAAATCAAAGCATTGATAATTTTAGATCTATTGTTGAAATGCATTTGAAGTACTTACGGCTAGCTGCACTGAGAGGAAAAACGTTCTTGGAGGAGCAGTCAGGATCAAACAACAGTCAAGTCACGGCCACTGTGTCAGGTCAAAGATGGAAACAGGAATAGCTGGAGAACGGAAAGTGAGATATCATACAGAGTACAAAAACCCTCAAAGACCACCTCTCCCGACCATCACCTGAATCAACAATAGGCAATTCTCCATCTTCCAAATCTAAACAGCAAATCAGAAGAGAATAGGACAAATCTTACACTATGGTGTGCAGCATTTAATTATGCAATTTGACATCACATGCTGGGCAATCCCAATTGTGTGAAGACATTTATGAATGACTAATTTAAAATTATCAGTCATATTTGCAGAGTGGCTCACTCACACACAACAGAAACCACATAAATTCAAATGCAAGGCCCTGTCATAGAGTCACAGAGGAGAGAAACAGACCCTTCAGTCCAAACAGTCCACACCAAACAATCCTAAACTAAACTAGTACCACCCGCCTACTCCTGGCCCATATCCCTCCAAACCTTTTCTACTTGTACTTAGATAAGCACCTTTTAAACATGGTAACTGTGCCCGCCTCCACCACTTCCTCAGGAAGTTAATTCTACATGTGAACCACCCTCTGGGTAAAAAATTTGCCCCCAAGTCTTCTTTTTTGTTAAATTCTCTCCTCCCTAGTCTTGAAATCCCTGATCCTAGGGGAAAAGACACCTACCATTAACCCTACCTATAACCCTCATGATTTTATTAACTTCTGTGAGGTCACCCTCAACCTCCTAGGTTTCAGTGGAAAGAGTCCGATAGTATCCAGCCTTTCTTTATAACTCCAACCTTCCATGCCAGGCAAAATCTTGGTAAATCCCTTCCGAACCCTCTCTAGCTCATTAATACCCTTCCTGCAACACGGCGATCAGAACTGGACACGTACTCTAAAACAGACCTCAACAATATCCTGTACAACCACAACATGACTTCCCAGCTCCTCACTCAAAAGGGCTGAGCAATAAAGGCAAGTGTGCTAAACACCTTTTTAACCATGCTGTCCATATGCGACACAAACCTCAAAGAATTATGTTCCTGAACCCAGAGGTTTCTCTGTTCTATATCACTACCCAAGGCCCTACCATTAATTGTACAGTCCGCCCTGTTTGTTGTACCAAAATGCAATATCTCACATGTATCCAAACTGAACTCCATCTACCATTTTTCAGCCCATTGACCCATTTGATCAAAATTCCCTTTGTAATCCTCAAAAACCTTCTTCACTGTCAACTATGTCATGTGCAAACTTACTAACCATGCCTTCTATATTCTTATCAAATCATTTTATAAGTGAAAAACAAACAAAAAAACAAAAAAAAGGTCCCAGAACCGATCGCTATGGAACTGCAGGTGACAGGCCTCCAGTCCAGAAAGGAACCTTCTACGCCACACTCTGACTCCTGCCATTAAGCCAATTACCTTTTCAAACAAAGGAAATTGTGTATCAGACATTGTGCCCTTTTCAACTGAACAAGCCCTTGGTTGGGGGGGGGAACGATCATGCTTGATATAATCTCCATTGAAGTGTCTGGATCAGTGTTAACCTGTTTCAGATGAATTTGAACAAAACATGACAATTAACTGTTCTCTGGTGCATTCTCCATGGTATGACTCTACCAGAGTCCATTTACCAAGTAATCAGTACACTCATTTCACACAATGTATACTGTTGCTCCCTCTGAGATTTGGTAGTTGTGTGACACCGTTTTAATGAGGGCAAATTGAAAAGCTTACGCAGAAAATGTCTTTCAGTCAAGTTCTGTACTACCAAGCAGCTATAAGTACCTTCATGTTAACAGAGCCATCTAGGACTAGATGGAACTAATTCAATTGCTCTTTCAAAGAGGCAATACAAGTAAATGATGGGCAACATTACCTCCATCTGTATCATTCTCTGATTCAGTGTAATTTTGAGATCCAACCTATTGCCTGTCTGGTTGGGAGGAAGCAAAAGGGAGACAATGACTAAGCTGAGCTGGCTCAGCAGGCACTGTTGAAATTCACAGAATCTCAACAGGAGGCCCAACTAACATGCTGAGTTTCTCCAACATTTCCTGTATTTGGCCCGGAGTTATCTCTTGTCTTGTCCTCTCCACTCCCAGACCACCCCACCTTCTCTAAGTCCTAATTCATGTGACTGCACAGAGATGCAACTGCTCTACCCAAGACAGTAGGAAATTACAGAAGGTTGTGTGCACAGCCCAGACCATCACGGAAGCCAATTTTCCATCCATGGGCTCTATTTACATGGCTCACTGCCGCAGAAAGGTGGCCAACATCAAAGGCCCATCGCACCCTGGTAATGACTTCCTACAACCTCTTCCATCAGGCAGGAGATACAAAAGCCTGAACACACGCACAAGCAGGTTCAGGAACAGCTTCTTCCTGGCCATTATCAGACTGTTGAATGGACACTAGCCTCAAATAATGTAACCTGCAACGTAACTTGTATGCCTCTAAGTCTTTTTGATCGGTACATCCTTTGCTTGCTGTGATCTGCCTGTACCGCTCGAGAACTAAGCTTTTCACTATATTTTGGTACACGTGACAATGAAATCAATCAAGAGAAGGCAAACCAGGCGCTGAGAGAATGGAAATTCAGGGAACCACACAGGAGGTCCCATGTGACTCTCAGTCAAGTTCTCTGCTCCAGCTCCCTCTTTTTCCCCCTAGATCAGAGATTGGAAGATGTTTAAATAAAAACAGAAAGAACTGCAGACACTGTAAATCAGAAACAAATACAGAAATTGCTGGTAAAGCTCAGCCGGTCTGGTAGCTTCTGTGGAGAGAATTCAGAGTTAATGTTCTGGATCGAGTGACCCTT